AATATCAAGACTGCCTGGAATCAGCAGCACCTCTTACCTTGGTCACCTCGATCTGGTAGTTGATGATATCGCCATTTTTCGTGACCTGGTCGGTGAAGCGGACCTTGTAGAACGGCCGCAACGGGGAGAGCGGTTCCGGGCTGGAGGCGTCAGAGCTATCCGCCCCCTCTTCCGTCTCCTCCCGCACGTCCTCCGTCTTGCACCGGTCCATCTGACCGCAGGCGCGGTGTGAGACCGACAACGTTTGGTGCGTGGTATTCGTGACTCAGTGAATTTTAAAAAGTTTCAAAAATGACATGGGAAAACCTTATGACTGACACAGATGGATGCGTAAACAGAGTTTGCTAAGAGTGAGTTGATGGTAATAGCTGACAACAGCCAGGTAAATATGTCTATCTAGGCAGCACACAGCTATTAAACAACAAGTTCAGCCTGCTGATAACCTCGGAGAATTGTCCGAAATGTTGGAAATTTCCCCGAATGGCTTTCGGCACTTCAATCACGAAGACTTTCCACAGATAATCATCCATACCAAGGAAAAATCCCAGAAAATTTTAGAGCATGATCAAAACAGAGAATATTTTTATTTGCTTTCCATGACTATCACCATTGGCTGTGCATGGTGCCATGGAGTCGAAGCTGGGGAATAATTTTCGGATCTGCCAAACATAAATCAAGGGTCTCTGTGGAAGATTATTAGAGAGATAATTGTTCAGTGAACAATTTTTCCACTGCTGAACACGTCCTAAATATTCCAGTGAACAGAAGCACTTGGAAAACATCTTGCACATATTGACATACCATGGACATCATTGTTGTGTACTGAGAGAGCTATAATGTGACAACTGATTAAAATAAGATGCCAGAGTTTGCAACATACTTTAGTCAGAAGATTCCAGCAACAGAATACACAACAAAGCTTGAAACAGTTTTAAACAATATGTCGCTGCTTGAGGCGCCAATAGCCAACAGTGTCAAAGGTACCTTTTCGGACCCAGAGTCTGTGATGATGGCTTCCGCAGTTGGCTGGTTTCTAGGCTTAAAGATGTCATCATCACTGATATCTCTTGGCACTTTCTTTTGCAGTGGTGTGGTTATAGCTGGGTCTGTGGTAGCCTCCATCATTGTGAGGCTTATGGTAATGCAAACCTGAAATGAGTTATTCATTATTTTCAGTCAATATATACAAGATATACTAGCTGGCTAGCTTTGCTTCAACATCCCATTTTGTAGAATGTGACAAATCTATCTAAAACCTATAACATGTAATGACCTTAGTAATGTTTTAAAATATTGCTGTGATGAAATCACTGATCTCATCAAATATATGAACACTCCATTAATAACTATTTTCTTGAACATCCATTGGCACCCCCAAACATTTACTAATGGGCATTTGGCATAGTAGAACAATGTGCTAATACTTCAATATCTTAATAGTACAGATACACAATACATGTTCAACACTTATCCATTCTTGTAAGGCACACAATCAAATTCACTGAAACTTGCATACCTACAGCTGTGTTCCATGTTGTGATCCCAGAAGTATGCTACCTAATTGGCTTTGTCAAGACTTGCAGTAAAATACCATCTCTTTGACAGATATGTCTATCTTGGATTTGAAATGGTTGCTCCATGGAGCAGAGCAAAACAGAACTTTGCCTGCATGTGCCATTATGTGTTTATTGTAACCAGTCATAGCATGTATGTTGCTTATGGTCTGTTTGATAAGATTTTTTAAGATTTGTTCCAAACCCTTTGAATGGATGGATTTCCGGGATCAGAGCTCACGCTAAGCAGTGCTTGTTGTGCGAGCCCTGACCCCTACCATCCGATCGCGCAATTCCATGTCAACGGCAGAATTTTGTCCGTCCTGCCCTCTGACGTCAACTGACCTTTAGCGCGACCGCTGCCACCGGCCCCGGGCCATACCTGTCAAGGGCAAATAGCGAGGGCCCTAAAGCGACTCGAACCCACCAACCCACCCGGCCATGGGTGGGTGGATCGGAAGGCAGGCGCTCTAACCAACTGAGCCACCGGGACGGACAAAGATTGTTTTAAAATACACCCACATATGCAAAACAAATTGAAAAAACAGACTGAGTATTTGTAATGCCCTCCTCCCATTGCTGTAATGAGCAATGCAACTCTTGAACAGAAGCCAGACTTGAGCACAACCTCAAGTATGTTGATTTGACAAAACCTTTCCAAAAAAGCCATCAATGCAATTTACTCCCCTTTACCTCACATGAAATATCCTTAAGCAGAGCACAATCTTAATAGCTCTCTGTCCAGTTTTTGTCTATCTGCTATTTGGTAAGTATAGCATGCATACCTACATGCGTTCATCTATATAAGGCTGATGGTTGCCGTTCTATATTTCAGCATAAAAAGTGCTACAATACCCTTATCCTTCACTGTGATACCACATCCACCAACCATGGGACACTGGCAAAATTGGGCACTAAATGGCCAAGTATGCCAGAGGCCCACACCAGTAACAATGGAATCACTCTAAATTGCAATGCATTTGGTTCAGCACCTTGACTTTTGGTGCACAGGCCATCCAAATGTTATGCTAAGCCTGATGCCAGGGACAGCATTTTAAAGGAGGGTAACTGAAGGGTGAGGGAGGAGGTTTCAGACAGCATAACACCGTGCTCAGATAGAGTTGCACATAATACCACAATACAAATGAAGTATTTCCAAACATTAAGCCTGCATACTGTTGGCTTTCACATCTGACAAGCAGCATGCCCACCTTTCTTTCACATCTGTAGCTTAGCTGGGGGCTATACAAATGTTAGCTGTAAGGGACGTTACACTAACACAGCATAAACCGAATGGGAGGGGCGATCTTTGCCCAGCGTCACCAGTGTATAACAGGGGAAAGGCGGGATCGAAAATATGGAAAATGTGTAGCGTATCTTTTGGACTACTTCTCGTAATCAAAGCCCACAAACGTGGAGAAATTGTAAGAAAACACGCTACTACCTTATACCTTTAAACGTTTGTTGTAACCTCCGACTCCTGCAGCCCAGACCCGCTTCGCCGCGGTTGTTGACTGGGGCAAGGACCGCTGCTGCCAAGACCGTAGTAGTTTGTAAGTAGTAGAACAAGTCATCGCGCACTGCTCCCCAGCGTCATGTTCGGCGCAGCTGCGTCACGGGAATGCACAAACAATATAAAAGAAGGATAATTATATTTTATTGAAGTACTATGTACCAGGGATGTTTCATAGTGCTTGAAAAATACAGTTGCTATTAGAATGCATAACCCAGTGTTTCGCATCTTTTGGAACAAAAACTGCACATTCCAGCTTCAAGAACCAGAAACATGAAATCCATCACTAAGAAGGAGGTCAATGCAGCGCAGCTCTGACAAAAAAGGCCGCCGTCGCTTGGCCCGAGGCTATGACTGGTGAGCCTCGGGCGGGCCGTAACGGTTTTGCACATTTTTGTAGGCAGGCAGGCTTTGAAGTGATGATATATGCGCTGTGGGAAATGTGACATGTGTTGAGTGCTTCATTTCAATGCGTAGAGAGTGCTGGGCTTCTGCTTTGATGCTTCCCAGTTTTGGGCAGGTCCAGTCCTTTTCCAAATGGCACAGCCAACTCCTCTGTTTTGGGGCAGGGGCTGGTGGTAATTGACCAAGAGGTGGGGTGTCTCCAGTACCATCCTGACAATCTTATTTGCCTCTACTGACTGCTTATTACCCCCACTGCTATGCTCAATATGAATTGATCAATTAATTTGCACACTGAGCTAGTTATTTAGCATTTTGCACACTACATTAACAAATCTAAAATATTAAAAAAATGTATCAAACATCTCACAATACAAACAAGAAAATCTTATTGTCAGAGCAGCAACACTAAAACTGGCTTTTCTGGAGTGGCATCGGTTTGTGGCATGTTCTCTTGATCAGCACAAGCAGCGCAAACTGGTGCAAACTGTTTTGCTTTTGTGCAATGATTTTTGTGTGAGAGCTTCAACATAATGATGGCTTTCTGGCTGCATGGCTGCTGCAGGCAGCCACATCTAAGACTGAAAAGAGTAATATTGCTCACTTGGACATTTGAATGAATATCTGTTGCTGAAAAATGAAAGATTAACCATTTATGGTGTGCATTTTGTGTATGTGTCAATGTATACATCTCATGAATCTAACACAAAAATGTCCTGGGGTGAGACATTGAAATTGTATTTTGTATAAGTTAGGTCTTAGCTTGATTGTATAATTGTAATGTAAGGTTAAGTATGCAAAGTAAGTTCATTATGCTTTTATTGCATCTAATGTAAAGTTATGTTATTGCTAATTATTCTAATGCTTATTGCTTTTTACTTTCAGGAAGATACATATATACCTGAAGAACTGCAAGCCATGGCTGAGCAGGGTGATACCGTAGCAGGCAGCTCACCTGTTGTAAAGGTGAGCACTTCCCTTCAAGGAACATACCTTTTCATTCACAGCACTGGTGAGCACTTCCCTTCACATTCAGGTGAGCACTTCCCTTCAAGGAACATACCTTTTCATTCATCTTTAACAGAACTGTTAAGAGTTTTCAGTATCAGGCTTAGGGAATATGCTTTTTATGAATACAATGTTGTTGATTAATTCATTACTATTCTTATATGTGGGCAAGCTTTGTGAAGCAAGTGGTTGTAATTATATCATAATCAATCATTTTGTGTTTTTCCAACATTTCATGTAGTTCATGAGGATGGCTTTCCAATAAAGCTAGTATTTGCTTTTGATATCTATAAGCAGTGTTTATCTTCATCTCCTTCAAAGATGATCATTACCATAGGACTTGGCGATGGTGGCAGCTGCCCTGCCTCTTCCCCCCTCTTTTAATCACCCGAGGGGTCTGGATCTGGAGTCAATGTGAAAGGCCCTGCACATCAATCATCTAAAATCCATGCACATGTCTATATGCATGTTACTTAGTGCTATCCCAGCTGCCAGTAAGCTTGTGAAGACCCATGCTGGTCATGCCCTCCTGAGTCCTAATGCTTGAAGCATTCATGTTGCTGCAGCACAGACATCCAGCTTGTGTCACATTGCCAGGGGGTGGCTCCTTTTTCCAAGGGAGCTGAGATGGGTGCCTGCTGATCAGCTCTGGGGATACCCATCTGAGCTCTATGCATCAGATTTCATCCACTTTGAAAAGGACCTCTTGAAGATATAAACTTAATTGAATAATACCTCTTAGCATGGTGGACCTCTGGTTCTTCTTATTGTGGCCTCTTGGCTGGCTGACATTACTTCATTGTTTTCAATCAGATGCCCTATGCATCTGATTGGGGCCCCTTGGAATCATCTAGACCTCCTGTCAACTATGAGAGCATAATGCTGGCCATCAAAGGCCATCTTAAGGGCAGATATTAGGTCTTGTGTGCCTTAAGGGGCTGCTTTTTTATTTGAAGGAATACTTTCTAGGTTATATGGCACCTTGTCTCAATGTGACAGGCTCCTGATATTTCGAGCTTGGGGAGGGGGGACAGGGGCGACAAAGATGTGGTTGTTTCCTTTGCCAAATTAATAGGGGCATCTGTCTTTGGCCGCTGGCAGCACCACCCCAGCACGTTGTCAATTTAGAACCGTGCCCTTGGGCACAACCATATGCACCAGCAGCACCTGACTGTCGTGCCACTGCCAGGCCGACAAATCCAACGAGCCCCATGAGGAACAACAGTACCTGGACCTGATCCGTCGCATCATCGAAACCGGCGTTCAGCGCGATGACCGCACGGGAACCGGCACTCTCTCTGTGTTTGGCACCCAGATGAGATTCTCCCTTAGAGATGGTATGTGGAAATGCATGGCACATGTTAAGGGTGGTTGGTGGTGCCCTTAACTTCATTAATCATTAAGAGGAAAGTGGAAGCTTGCTCGTCACCTTACGTGCTAACCAGCTCGTGTGTGTGTGTGTGTGCCATGTACAGAGCCACAAAGATGTTGATGACGCCGACAGACACCCTGTGCGTGCAGGCCGTCTCTAGTGCGTGCAGGCCGTCTCCAGTGCATGCAGGCCGTCTAGTGCGTGCAGACCGTCTCTCGTGCGTGCAGACGGTCTCCCGTGCGTCAGGTCGTCTCCCTTACATGCAGGCCGTTTGCCATTCGGCAGACCGTTTCCCTTGATGCCGGTCGTTTCTCGTGCGTTCAGGCGTTCCCCTGTGATGCCGGTTGTTTCTCGTGCGTTCAGGCCGTTCCCTTGTGATGCCGGTCGTTTCTCGTGCGTTCAGGCCGTTCCCCTGTGATGCCGGTCGTTTCTCGTGCGTTCAGGCCGTTCCCCTGTGATGCCGGTTGTTTCTCTTGCGTCCAGGCTGTTCCCTCCTGATGGCGGTCGTTCCTCTTGCGTGCAGGTCGTTTCCCACTGCTGACCACGAAGCGCGTGTTCTGGCGCGGCGTGGCTGAGGAGCTGCTGTGGTTCATCCGCGGCAGCACGGACGCCGCCGAGCTGCAGCAGCGCGGCGTGCACATCTGGGACGGCAACGGCAGCAGAGAGTTCCTCGATCATCTGGGCTTCACCGACCGCCGGGAGGGTAAGGCCGCGCCGCCGCACCGCCCGGTGGCAGGGCCGGGGCAGAAAGAAAGCATGCGGGGGCACCCGGCCGGGCAGGGGATGCTGCATGTGGAGGTAGAGGTGATGGGTGCCCCGGGGAACGGTCTGCGTGAGCGGATGGCCGCTAGAATCAGTCCCATCTCTTGTCTCCTGGTTGAGGTGAGCAAACTGCCTCTGTTATTCCGACGCGAAAGCTCAGCGCACGGTACACCCTAAAACTCGCACAGTTTGTGTACGTCTTACCTGTCGCTGCATTTTTTGCGTCATTTTCCCAACAAGTAGGCACAGAGTGCGCTGGGGTGTGTGCCAGCCGGACTAAATGTTTTGCATTGTCCCCCTTCTGTTCGATTTTACCGCTAATCTGTTGCAATCTGGAAGGCGTTGGTCCCGGCGGAGAGCTACTCGAAACTCGCCCTTGCTCTTCCTGAGCGCCGTTTTCTGAATTCAGGCAGGCGCTGCCAGCTCACATAAGGACAGACTGGCGAAAGGCTCGGGATCGCACGAGCACCGATGGCCAGGGAAACGCGCGAAGCCAAACCTAGGTGAATCTCAGTCTCAGTTTTCATCGCGACAGTAGAGGGGAGGTTAGCCTCTGCCGCCTCGCATAGGTCACACGTCGGGACATGGTTTGCTCCTCTCGACGGGGCAAGTATCGTCATTCCCGCGCTGTGACCACGCGCTGCTCGTCGCTCATGTTCTCGTGCAGTGTCCACACTTGGCCAGCGAACGATATCGTCTCTTTGGTCGTGGCCTTGTGCGGCGTAGTTTCCGCGCTCACTCATAGGTGGGCGCGCCAGTGCTGACGCGGGAGCTGCTCTTACATGTCTTTACGATATTGACTTAGAGGTCATTTACTCACCGTCACAACATGTTTTGATGTCGCACGACCCTGGCTGGATGTACCCCGTCGTACTAAGTTTACGTAAACCGCGCATGAACCGCTCGTTATGGTTTGCCGCCCCGCGCGAGATGCGCTGCAACCGGGCGTAGCACGCGCCTGTTGTATTCATTCCTTTGTTCCCACGCCTTCTTACCAATCAACTTGTCCTCTTGATACGCGATTCTCAAAACCGACAGCAGTGTTTTACAGCTGCATGCTTTACATGATGGGACGTGGTTGCACAGATGCACATATAGCCGCAGTTGGGCGTAGAAGACCGTTGCCGTCGACTCACCCCCTAAGCCCAAATAGCCTACCGTTCGCTCATATGACCACGCGTAGATGTGCTTGCCTTCGCCAGACGGCACGCTGTCAGATTCCTCGGAGATGCTTGGCTCCGAAATTGGCTTCGTCAGCCGATGGCTGCAGGATGATCTCTGCGGTGTCCGAGGGTCCTAGTTTCTTTCTCCTCTATAGATTGGCCGTGCCTACATTTTTGTCTTAGATATATACAGGGGCATGCATGAAATCATGCAATGCCACAGTATCAGCTGCGTTTGTTTCGGACAGGTCTAACTGGAACATAGCAGGTGAGGTTTTTTCCATGTCGCATGTTTTCGTACGATTTTACTAACATTCCCATCGGTTTTGCATACATTTACATCGTTTGAATGGACATGCAGGTTATGCTACGTGAGCTACGAGCTTTGAGACCAGATACAGCCATGTGTGTGCTGGCCCCCACGTGAGGCCTATAGGCGTGCGTCACAGGCCGAGGGTGTTGTTAACTGGCATGCAGGCTGATGATCCGTCCCTGCTGTGGTCCGTTCCGACCTTGTGACTGGCCTGCACTGGAGGTGAAGCCCGCTTCTGTGACTGGAGGTGGTTGGTCCGGTCCGGTCGAGGCCTGGTCCGGTTTGTCCGGTCGAGATCTGACGAGTGGCGGCGGTGGCCAGGGGACCTGGGGCCCGTGTACGGGTTCCAGTGGCGACACTTCGGCGCCAAGTACCGCGGCCCCGACGCCGACTACACCGGCCAGGGCGTCGACCAGCTGGCCAGCGTCATCCACGACATCAGGTGGACATCCCCGGTCCGCCCCCTCCCCCTCCCGCTGTCGCCGGGGAGGGGACCGCGCAGGCGCTGGCGGCGTGGTTGTATAGCGCGCCACCGAACGGTATGCACTGCGTCGCCATGTTGCCTAGTCTCGCCCTGCATTTACCACTTCAGCAGTTTTCTTCAAAGCTTCCGTTGTTTGAACTTTTTTAACGTCTCATGTGTGCAAGTGTTGAAGGCATGCCGCGTTAAGAATTTCAGATAACCTCGACGTGATCAGAGCGTGGTCGATCTGCTACTCGGCACAACACCGTACGTGGTGTCTGCACCGCCTTCTCTGCGTCTCCTGCTCGTACTTTGGTTATCTCATCTTGTGCTCGCGGTCACGTTTCGTAACTGTTTGCCTTGCCCATATGTACCATTTTGACGCCTCGCGTGTCAGAGACCCCTGGCGTGCTGTCGTGACCCTTCACGTGCCGCCGTAACCGCTCGTATGCCGCCGTGACCCTCCACGTGCCGTCGCGACCCCTCACGCGCCACCGTGACCCCGCACGACCCCACCCTGACCCGCCCGGGCCGCCGATCCGCACAGGACGAACCCGAACAGCCGCCGCATAGTGATGAGCTCGTGGAACGCGGCTGACCTGCCGCTGATGGCGCTGCCGCCGTGCCATTGCCTGGCCCAGTTCTACGTGGCCAACGGCGAGCTCAGCTGCCTGCTGTACCAGCGCGCGGCCGACATGGGTCTCGGCGTGCCCTTCAACATCGCCAGCTACGCTCTGCTCACCTGCATGATCGCCCACGTGACCGGCTTGAAGGTGCGCACCGGGGGGTCACGTGACGCCCAGCTTGAGGCGGGTGCTGTATCATCTAACGTACCTGCATGGGTGGTGCCCACAGCTGGAGTGACTCGATCTGGACGCCCAGTAATACCCTGTTGCAGAACTACGCGGAGGTAGCTGCTAAATGGTCTGTCCCTACAGTTTTGTTGACTGGTACCTTCGCTACGTCGGCTAATCGTGGGTGAAAAGCACATGCCAGGGCGGTATCGGGTTTCCCTGGTTTCCGTTGCTTTTATACTTGGCAGTACTTATAGACGACAAGTATTCATCAAGCGTCGTTGTACTATGGTATTCATAATTTTTCGTCACCTTGACTGTTCCACGCCTCGCTCTGAAGCTGTCGCGAAACGTTGCGAGTGATGTGATCGGGCGGCACTGTCGGCAGCCGGGCGAGTTCGTGCACTCCATGGGTGACACGCACGTGTACCTGAACCACGTGGAGCCGCTGAAAGAGCAGCTGGCGCGCGAGCCTCGCCCCTTCCCGCGGCTGCGTTTCGCTCGCGCTGTCGACGACATCCAGCAGTTCACCATGGACGACCTTCAGCTGGAGGGGTACGATCCGCACAAGAAGCTCTACATGAAGATGGCCGTCTGAGTGCACAAAGCTACGCCGGTCTGTGCTTGGAGGTGATTGTCTGAAGGCCTTAAGATCGAAACGGAGGTGGCGGTCAGGTAGATTTAGGTCTGGTGGATGGCGGGAGTTCAGGTTAAGGGTGGAAGTGGTGGATTACAGACACGCACCAGCTGCTGGAGATGGCGATGGGGTGATGGCGGGGTAGGTGACCGCGAGTTCTCAGCAGACACGCACCAGATGCTGCAGATCGCGGTGGGGTGATGGCGGGGTAGGTGACCGCGGGTTCTCAGCCTCATAGATGGCTGTGAACTGATATTGAGAGCTAGGGACGGTGCGTCGACGAACGCTTGTGCGTAGTTTCAATTATGCGCGAACTTTCAGCTCACGTGCCAAAATACGGGGCATGCGCCTCCTTTGTGTGCTTAGGCTCTGCTCTCAGGATTTTTAAGGTTAAGTTTTAGGCCTAGCCAAGGTTGCGACAGGCTTCAAATTTTCGTTTTGAAGTACTTGAGCTGCCCTCCTGACCTTCATTTTTTACGACCCGGAACCCGGTGGGAGAAGCTCCGAAGTATTCTCAACCTACACTACGTTGTGATATAAATAGGGGATGCTTTTTACCAGGCAACTTTTTGTACTTTTTATTCCTTTCTTCGAGGACACGTATCAGCCCCGCTGTACCTTATTGTCGAACAACATCTCTCCAAACCGCGAGCGTTTGCGCGGCCAGTCATCCCCAGTGTGTGCGTAACGTCTCGTGCCGGACTGGCGGCCGCATTGTTTTTGGTGTTGTTCGTGATGAATACATTTCCACGCTGCACAGTCTCTGTGAAGACTCGCTGGTCTTGACATGGCCGTGACCGACACTAAGGACTCGTGACACTATTTCTGCTGTATTGTCGGGTCCCCGTTTGGCCTTATCATCGTGGCTGCCGCGCGCCGCTAGCGCACATGGCGCGGGATGTCATCATCGGAGCCCATTGAACTGAATGGTAACCGCGGAACACGGACTGCACTTTGAACAACAGTGAACAGAAAGCGCGAGCAACATAGATGGTGCGCGTGCCGGCCGGGAGCCGCTGCGGTCCGGACCTCTGAGACGTAACCGATCCTCGCGGTCCGGTCCGGTTGGGGTCCGTCGCCAGTCTCCCCATCTGGCTGAGCCGCAGCACCAGTCCTAGGTGGCAGCGCTGTCGACGGCGGCGACTCTGTGCCCTGCGGCGCCGGGGGGCCGGGCTGGGCGGCGGCCGACGGCAGCAGCTGCATGTGCCGGCGGTACCACTCGGTCTGGGTGGCCAGCAGTGAGGTCATGCTGCGCGCGGCCGCCGCCCACCTGCCGTCCGCACGGGGTCAGGTCACCCTGACTGGTACGGCGCAGCTGCCCCGCATAGACACATGGCCCAGCGTGTGCTTACCGACGCTACCCAATATTTCACCCCGATAGGACTGCGCGTCATAATGCATGTCGTGCACTTAAAAACATCAGCAAAAAAAAAACGCGTCGGGCACGAGAACTCCTCAGCCGCTTTTGACAAAAAGGTTTCCGAAGCACTTTCAGGAGCAGTTTTAATCAGTCCGTTTGAAATGACATGACGTTAAAGCTGTTGCACAAGCCGCGGCGCATCTCCGTGTGCAAAGATGCCAGAGTGGGGAAGTCGCGCCTGCGCCCCACCTGTGGCCTGCTGGGGCTCGCCCTGCACGTGCAGCTGGACCGCCTGGTTCCAGGTGCGCGTCATCACCAGCAGAGTCTGGCGGGCGGCGCGGAGGAGGACGGCGTCACGTTACTGCCGGTGCAGCGCGACTCTCCGCTGGCTACACTCCAACACGGCGTCGAGAAACGGCCCGGCCGAACGACAGCTGGCGCCACCGACCGAAACACTGTCTCCGGTTCATTGACGTGTCGTGGAGACTACCACCAGCGAACCATCACAAACTGTACGGACATCCATTGAACACATCCACTGCCCGCCATGTCGAACCAGCACCAGCAGCTGACCGTCAGATCGGCGTAACATAAGCGACTGGCCGCCATGTTGGGGTAGCGTCCCTCACTGAACGTCATGTTGGGGGTAGCGTCCGTCACTGACCGCCATGTGTGGGGTAGTGTCCCCTTACTGACCGCCATTTTGGGAAAGCGTCCCTTACTGACCGCCATGTTGGGAAAGCGTCCCATGCTGACCGACATGTTGGGGCAGCGTCCTTCACTGACCAGCCATGTTGGGGCAGCGTCCCACACTGGACCATGTTGGAGCGGCGTCCCTCACTGCACCGCCATGTTGGGGCAGCATCCCTCACTGACCGCCATGTTGGGGCAGCATCCCTCACTGACCGCCATGTTGGGGTCAGCGTGCCCTTCACGACTAGCCATGTTGGGGCAAGCGTCCCACACTGACCATGCTGGGGCGGCGTCCCCCACTGACCGCCATGTTGGGGCAGCGTCCCTCACTGACGCCATGTTGGGGCAAGCGTCCCTCACTGACGGCCATGTTTGGGGTAGCGTTCCCTCACTGACCGCCATGTTGGGGTAGCGTCCGTCGGCCGCCCGGATGACGTCTCGCACCTCCAGCACAGCCCTCAGCGCCTCGTCAGCAGTCAGTCCCGGCGCGCCAGCTGGTCCAGTGTCAAGCTGATGTACCTGCCGGTTCAATCCCCTCTCAGGCTCAGTAACAGGCACGATCGGCGCAGGCGGTGTCAACGTGGGCCGGTGCGTGAAGTAATCTGTGCCGGTAAATGCCCCCCATGTGGCGGCCGATACAGGTGCACTTTCTGAAGACATTGAAACTAAAACAATCCAATCTGGAGCTAGCGTAGACGAATCACGCTGAGGACCGCTAAGATCCGCTATGGTGAGAAGAGGAACTGGTGGTGAGGAGGGATGCCGTGGTGTGAGTGCACTCGCCTGATCTGCAGCGCCGCCAGCCTGTCATAGTCGGCCGTCGGGGCGCGCCGCAGCCGGTCAGCGGCGGCCCGCAGCGCCCTCACGGCCAGCGCTGGCCGACGCGGCACCAGGCTGGCCATCGCCTCCAGCGCGCCGGCGTCCACGTCCGGTCGGGCCGCTGCCGAGGTCAGCAGCTCGGCCAGCCCGGCGCCGTCCAGGCCCCTGCCTGCCCGCTGTCAGGACGTCAGCGGCTGCACGGCGGGGCCGCTGACGTCGGCACGGCTACAGGGTGCACTCGCTCCGGTTGGGAATAGCCACAGCACGGCCCCGCGAGGTGAGGACGGCGGGGCGGACTCGCACAGGGCGGGGACAGCCTCAACACGGCCCCGCGCGGTGAGGACGGCGGGGCGGACTCGCACAGGGCGGAGACAGCCTCAACACGGCCCCGCGCGGTGAGGACGGAGGAGCGGACTCGCACAGGGCGGAGACAGCCTCAACACGACCCCGCGCGGTGAGGACGGCGGGGCGGACTCGCACAGGGCGGAGACAGCCTCAACACAGCCCCGCGCGGTGAGGACGGAGGAGCGGACTCGCACACGGCGGAAACAGCCTCGACACAGCCCCGCGCGGTGAGGACGGCGGGGCGGACTCGCACAGGGCGGAGACAGCCTCAACACGACCCCCGCGCGGTGAGGACGCGGGGCGGACTCGCACAGGGCGGAGACAGCCTCAACACAGCCCCGCGCGGGTGAGGACGGAGGAGCGGACTCGCACAGGGCGGAAACAGCCTCGACACAGCCCCGCGCGGTGAGGACGGCGGGGCGGACTCGCACAGGCGGAGACAGCCTCAACACGACCCCCGCGCGGTGAGGACGGCGGGGCGGACTCGCACAGGGCGGAGACAGCCTCAACACGGTCCCCGCGCGGTGAGGACGGCGGGGGCGGACTCGCACAGGGCGGAGACAGCCTCAACACGGCCCCGCGCGGTGGAGGACGGCGGGGCGGACTCGCAGGGGGGCGGAGACAGTCTCAGCACGGCCCCGCGCGGTGAGGACGGAGGAGCGGACTCGCACAGGGGCGGAAACAGCCTCGACACAGCCCCCGCGCGGTGGGGACGGCGGGGCGGACTCGCAGGGGGCGGAGACAGTCTCAGCACGGCCCCGCGCGGTGAGGACGGCGGGCGGACTCGCACAGGGCGGAGACAGTCTCAGCACGGCCCCGCGCGGTGAGGACGGCGGGGCGTGATTAGCCGCGGTTAGTGCAGGCTCCCGTATAGTCAGCACAGCAGCAGTACATAGGCTTTACAGGTGAAGCAAGCGGTTAACGCATTATGCATGTTAGATCATCACATGCATACAAATCAATCATACAAAGTCAACCGCCCGGCAGCCCCTTTACAAAGCGTGCTGGGAACAGCAGAAGTGCAGCACACATGTGCTGCAGGGGAAGTAAGCCTGAGCCAGAGCTGAGCGGCGCCGCGGCTTGGTACCCAGCATCTCCAGCTGTGGGCAGCTTGCTCTTAGCGTCGGCGGCGAACGGGCGAGCCTGCCCAACATCACGCCACACGCGCACGGGCGCTCGTTACCCGTTGGCCTTCGACCTGGTACAGGACAGTGGCGGTGCCCGTGGCGGCCAGCCAGGCCATCTCCTGCCGCCGCCCAGTCGGGCCAGTCAGAACGCGCACACGCGGCCACGCAGTCGAGCGCCTCCTGGCGGCGGGTGACGGTCACCAACGGTCAGCCTCATCTGGGCGACCACTGGGCTTGTAAACGGGGCCATGTGGCCCACCTGGGTGCAGACCTATAAAGTTAGCCACCGGGCCCTGTGCTGGCCCCCTCGCGTGCTTCCGTGGGACAGATAAGGTTTCAACCGCAGGCGCCTGGAATGCGGTTTAGCCGACCTTGGCTGCATCATTCCGTAAATTAAATGCACTGTTTTACGGTTCGATGCGATCTTTCATCAGGCGACACAAGCGACGCCGTTAGCACAAGCTCGTCAGCTAAGTAACGAGGAGAGCGGAGCTGTCGGAGCTGAGTTGTAGCTCAGCTGGGCTGAGCTGAGCTTGTCGGTGCGGCCGGTACCGTAGGTGCGCGTGTTTCTCGCGGCTGCAGCAGGCCGGGCTGTCGAGCCGCCTCCAGGACAGCGGCGGCAGCCATTACGGACGCCGTGCGGCACAGGGAGAGGTCGGACGGGTCCCTGCGGAATACAGGCAGGCTCGAGGTAGAGTCATCTCACAGAGCAAAGGAAGAAGATCGG